TCCTTTCGCCTCAAGCAAACCCAAGATGGTATACTTATAATTTAAAATAATATATTTACATATATTAATGCACCAATCTTCCGTAGTGCTGAGGAGAAACCGCCAGAGAAAACAGGCTGTACCCGAGCACGCAGAAGAAAACTGTGAACTTTTCGAACCTCAGAGAGCCGTCGACTGGAACTTAATTTAGATCTGGGTGAGATGCAAACAGACGTACTGTTCAAGACGTCTGGCAAGCGCAGACAACAGCCAAAACCATTTGACCAGATCGAATGGAGATCACGCATAAAAATGCTATCCAGCCCAAAGCGTGCAGCTCGACTCAAACTACAGCAGAGGATATGATCCGACTGACGGAAGATCGATGAACCTGCGCAGTAATGGATGGTTACCAAAAGGGTTGCGCGCACCCAATTGGAAGACGTCGGCTCATGTCGGATAATGAGCTAAATGATGTGGAAGTTTGCGGTGACAAGTCGCACAAGACAGACAAGCGTAGGAATTTAGATTAGGCAGTGGTGATGCCTGCCAATTTCGAAGAAGGATCAGTCAAGTTATTTTGTTGTCAATATTAACATAATATTAAAATTTCAATTATTCATAAGCGTTAAATTTGATTCCGTTCGTCAACCAGCCTGCGGATCAGGTATCGACTGTAGAAGTAAATTATCTACGAACAATTCTTACAGTCAGGAGAAACGATGCGGCCGTGACAGAGCTTGCGAAACTTACGTACGCTAAAATATCATTTGGCTTGGCCGTCCCTCATAAGCTGATCGTATCCTCAGCATAAAAGTAATAGACTTAAATCAAACACGAAATCAACTCGGGAATCAATCGGTAAAATATTATAGTGAAATAATTTTCACTGAAATTGGCGCCCCAAAACTGGAATATGCGAATAAGTGGAAAACTTAAAGGTGACGTGGGTCCGCTATCTGGCACTTTCAACGAATCACTGACTGATCGAAGAGGTTAATCATGAAAAACTGTACCTGTAGAAAAAACTTAATTACTGAATTGATAATTACTGAAAACAGGTAGTTCCATAGACAGAGATGAACTTTGAGTAGTGGGCCCTAATGCAGTGCACCTCGAAGACGGACGCACAAATGCTGTTAGCGACAAACGACAGTAAACACAACTGCCAATTAGCTGACCGAAGAGAAACCTTAGAAACGACGAGAATAAGAAACCGTCAAACATACTGAACAGCCAACATTATACTGCGACAGCGTTTTTGCCTTTTGTGAAGATCCCTTGATTGCAGTTATTTCCTCGTTTCCTTCTTGCCATTGGAATGGGAAAGTATGTCAACGCTGGAATGCCGGCCTAAC